CAGTTAACTTCATTAGTCACAACAAGAACAAAAAACGACGACCCGATTCTAGGGTCACAGATGTCTTATTAAGGTCACAGTTAACTTCATTAGTCACAAAACCTCAAGAACAGTGGAGAGAACAACTACCCCCAAAATATTAGATCCACGCATTCGCCACCAACAGCCAACATCCTACACCACCAACCCCCTACACCATCTCTAGCATCACACTCACCACCACCACCACATCCCATCCCACCACCACCGTCGCCACCGCCACCACCGCCACCTCCTCTCCCAGACCGCCCACTTTATTATCACAGCCACGATGGAGCAGAACCAAAAGCTTCATTCAAACCAAAAAACAAATATCGAATGATTTAGTAATTGACCAGCTAATCACCAGTGAACTCACGAGAAAATGAGTTCTTATTTCAAGAAAACTTCAAAAAATCCCCTTGCCACATACAATCTGGAGCTAATTTGGGGCAGAGTAGCATTTACTGGATAAAAAATGGATGAAAGAACCAATATCTGCAGTGCCCCATGATTTGCACGCTGCTGTTATTCACAGTAGCGTCCACACTGAGCATCGTTGTTGCTGTGGTCGACGCTCCGACAGGGAGGAGAAGGTAGGTAGGGAGGGAGGAGGAGGTAGCGTCCAGCGTTCGACGCTGCTTTGAATTACAGCAGCGTTGACACTGAGCATCGATGCTGCTGTGGTCGACGCTCCGACAGGGAGGAGAAGGTAGGGAGGGAGGGAATAGGCGCCGGCGGAGGAGATAAATGATGGAGAGAGAGAAAAAAACGAGGGTGGGGGGTTGTGTGGGAAATGGATAAATTAGGGTTTCAAATGATTATTTATTTAATTAAAATGATGAAAAACAAATTTTTGAAAAAATAAAAAACCTAATAAATGGAAGAAAAAAAAAACGTGAAAACCTGAAATTTTAAAATGTGAAACTAAATGTCTGGTTCAAGGTAATTTTCCCTATTTATTATGGCGTTGATACATGTAATAAAATTATGGCGAACAGTCCCTCTTTGAATTGTCTCAATTTTTTGCACCGTTTATGGACGCATTTAATTCTACCTTGGACTTCCGTCCCAACCATATCTGCTTGTAAAGCATCGGCACATATAAAGCGTGTCAATTAACAATCAAAGCGATCTAACATCGTTGAATATTAAGATTCCAATGAAATATCGATATTATTTTATTCAATATTTCAAAACAACTAATTCTTAAAAAAAATTAAATAGTGGCAAATCCAAGAAAAAAAAGACTAATTATATTCACACGGTAACTTTTGTTTGGTATACCACATTTTAATTATAATTAGGG